TTTTCATGGATTTCTTGTTCCGACCGCCATGTCTAAGTTATATATTCATGTTCAGAACACAAAAATACATAGAAATTGAGTGTTGTTATCTCTTATTTCATATGCGTGGGTTTTCCGAAGGTTTACCGAAATTCCATTATTCCGATCTCTTCAGAAGAGTTATTTGACATTTTACTCGTGTAAGATATAAGTAGAAAGAGAAAATGATTAATTGAAAAGCTGTCGAATCAATATCGATTAGACATCTTTTCAACTAATCATTTTCTCTTTCTACTTATATCTTATAAAAATAAGTAAAATATCAAATAACTCTTACGAAGAGGTCGGAATAATGGAATTTTCTCCGTTTGCAATTAACTCTATGCCATCAAAAAGCGCTATAAAAGCGCTCCGTCATACGAAACATATCGATTTTTAAAGGATTTCGATATCATGATCTACATCGAATCGACATCAATTCGATGTCGAAATACTGTTTTTCGACGTCGAATCGGCATCGATTCGATGTCGATCGAGGTTTCATTTCTCAACGAATGCTCGAAATTGCTATCGAAATTGATGTAAGGATCGATATCAAGATTTCGATATCTAATTGACATCAATTCGATGTTTCATTTCTCACTGGGAATAGCATAAGATAGCTTTATTAGACACAGAACAGAACCGTTGCGTGCGAGTGAAAAAGAAGGAAGTAGCGCTGCTAGAAAACGGAACTAACCGTAGTGAACAAAAGTATAGATGCTATGCACGCCAATGGTTACCAACGAATACAAAATATATAAATGGCGCGACAATTTGAGATCATAAACTCCAACAAGGAAAGCCGACCCCCTCCCGTTCTTGGTTTTCCGGGAATTCTCGAATGAAATTTCGCTCGGGTCGTTTTCGTCCCAGTCCGTATGCGCAAGGTTAATATTCTTCATTATAAAGAAGTCTAATATGACAGTTAGTTATATGTGTAACAGCTTATTCATATCGTTTTGTACACAGATTGGAGACACATTACAAGAGGCATCAATAACCAAAAACAGAATTCATACCTGTTTAATCCTCACGCGTAACTAGTACATAAGTACTGCGTTTTCATTGAACTTACACAAAGAAACTTATAGATTAACATGTACAGCATTTTGCAACGCAAGGCGAACGTTATATCGAAATCTGTTGTTGAATCCAGGGTATGTATTTGGCCACATCAACATAAACGATGTATTTCTGTAGACCGCAGAACGAACTTTCATTGATTAGAGATCGCGAAACAACACCACGCAACTCATAACTGTTTTTAATATTGTTTACAAGTATCAGCCCGCTCCCACCGTCACCGTGACAAGGACCCAGTCCGTCTTGCGAACCAGCGCAAAAAGTGTCATGCGAGATTGTACGAATATATTTAGCATCCGCCCAGAGACAGGTCTCCTGCAATTTGTGAAACAAACTTCAACTCGAGGCTTGTAAACAATTTGACAAATACAGTTGTCACAGATATATGTAATTATTGTAATTTGATAATAGCAATTAACGACTTACTTGACTCACGATCGTCGCTCTCACCATCCGTTGATCGTTAACATTACGAAACTTGTCTCCACCCCATCCTACGACATATCCCGTCCTACTAACGACGTCTTCAAGTTTACTTGAGCCGGACCATAGGCAAATAGGCCTGATGAGAGGATTGAACTCGACGACGTTCGTGAGGGTCACAACCGCGAGATCGGAAGTAGCTTTGAGAAAGTGCACATAATCGGGGTGAATCACGTAGCTCGCGACTTTCCGATTGGCAGATCCATCTCCGCGCAATGGGTCCAAGTTATATCGCCCCAGAACCACTTCCAATATATCGACGGGTACTGTTTCGTTATTGCCCAATAAGTACAGTTTCATACAGTACCCCGCTGTAAAAAATACATCGTAAATATGTGATATACGAAAGTTTCGGAAATACTGTGCCATCATCAGCACAATTAATTATTAACGTAATTTAAATACAAACGTATAAATTAAGAAAGTATAACATATATCGCAATCATATAGTGTTACAGATAACGCACCAACGGCAACCGATTAAATTTAATTACGAAAAACTGATCGGAAATTCTTCAGGGTCGCCAGCAAAAATTAAAAACATCAAAATTGGTTGACCATATCTGGCAATTTTAATGGTAAATTATCACGACGTTTCGACCATGGGTTTTGGTCCTTTTCAAGTGATCATATCTGTTACAATTCGAATTTTACAAATTAGTTACGTTTTCGTATTTGTGATAAGTTTACGGTTATATAAATTGTGTGTTACCTGTGGTAATCGTGTATAAAATCATATGTGTTACGTTGGTGTTGAGAGGACTAAAAA